TTCCTTCTTCTTGCCGAATCTGTTTACATGAAAATGAAGGCAGGGATATATACTGAGGTAATCTACGCACCACTTCAACTCATCATTCACATGCACCTTTGTACTGTGTTCCTTTATACCTGTCGATCGTTTTTAGGCAAAAATTTCATTTCTCAGTTCCATACTTCCACTACTATCAGTTTGCTGTTCCCTGCTTTTTCACCCGAACCTTGACAGTTGGCTGACTATCTTTCTGTAAAATATAGCTAAGCGATACATTTCAAGGAGACTCGTGTCTCCTTGAAATTACATTTCTTGGAATGTCTGCCTTCCAATGTATACGCAAGCCATAAATGTTTAGAGTAAAGGTAATTTAGACTTTTCGATTCAGGATCTTCTCCTGGGTCAATAGTCCTCCCAAAGTTTGCTTATAGGTCTTATTTCCTTTCAATATTCGATATTTTAAGGTAAGGCTCACGTCATTCGTATGAAATGCTATAGAAAGATGACAAATTCTTCGTTCAGTTTAGGCAACTTCATTGCACATGCTCTTTGTTAGTTACAGTTCATTTTGGTTAATCAATCCTGCGTATCTCTGTTTACAACGTCATGGCCGGTTATGTTAATTCGAAGGGCTTCTTATTAATGGTGATAACTTCTCTTTAAGCATTGGAATGAATTCTGGCCTGCAGTTTTACTCCTCGACCGTTTTTGTACAGGGAGATAATGAAACATAAGAATCTCTAACTATAATAGTTTTTCACGTATCTATGCATCACGTGCCATTGAAAATTTCCGGCTCAATGCGGTGAAGTATTCTGCAAACATCGTGTGGTCGTGGCAAGCCCTAAATGGCATGAGTGTTATCTTTGAGTACTTATACATTGAAAGCTATTGCTGTCCGAATTGTTTCGAATAATTACACCACACTAGGTGATTAACACCATGCGAGAATAACCGAACTTGTGAAGTTGTCTAATAACCAGAATAGTATGAGACTACTCATGTGCAGTAGGTTATGCCGATCCACTAAATGCTGGGCACCGAGCAACGTATATTTTTTCGAAACAGGAAGCCAGGAAATGGGGCCGTTTACCGCTGGTTCACCCCTAAGACAGTGCAAGGTTGATCGTATGGTCTACCCGTTTTTAAAATTATAATTTTCTTATCGCTTCGCTTTTGGTGTTTGCCCAACATAGACGACGTGCTGCCCTAACCCTCTTAGTGTTCTTAAATGCCGACTTGACCGACTGAGTTGCCGATAACCCTGTGCATCTTGAGGTGTGCTTGCATCCAAAAATACCAGCAACCTCATAGTCAGAGGCAAGGAATCTTCAGTCTGGCTGACGGGTGGTCATTCTATACCTCACCAGTGTGAGTTAAACCCATCCGCCCAATCGTGTCATAGTCTTCGCTTTACCGTTTTCAGAATAATCTTTGCTCTCAGTTGGACATTAACGCACCATTCCGAGGGGTGATACTTGCCCATTAGTTTCACCGGCCATCCATTACTCTGTAGGCTGCCTTAGCTTATTTTTATCGTCCTTAAAAAATATATGTTGGTGGCACTAACAAACAAGCACAAAACCAAGTCGTTCTGTCTTCGTTTAGATCGAAGCGAATAAAATTATAATACTGTCTCTTTTGACAAACGGACTTCCTAATTTGAGCCACCGCTCCCGTGCACAGTAGCGTCTATCGTAGTCAAGTCAATGAACGTGGTCTTCGAGCGTTTCCTATTCATGATCCAAATTGATATTCTGTTCTCTCCTTTATTATTTATTGCGATGAAAATGGCAAGTCCGCATCTACATAGCGAGTTTATTGAGTTTTTTTATTGTTATTGATCGAAACATGAAAAAACCTCTAGGACTAAGTCCACCGGCTTACCGACATGCCCGTATGACTGTCCATTTAAAAAGATCTGCAAGCAAGTTCTTGGTGCAGAAGCTCAGTAGCCTACGCATTCGTCCGATCTTTAAGCAGATTTGGAATGCATACTCACATACGTCGATGTTTTCTTTCAATGACAAGGCTCTGCTCGTCCATCAGACCAGGTGAAACCTTCAGCTTGTCAGTGGGGAAATGTCTCTCGCCGTTAAGTTACAACGGGCTGAGTCAATTTTTCTAGCCAGTTCCTATGCGACTTTATGTAGGGGTAAGATAAGTAGTTGACATACGTGGTCGTAGTGGAGATATGCCAATAATGTCTTATCGACACCTGGCGAAGCGACCTGGTTGAAATTACCCTCTAAAGGACGCATAGGAAAATAATAAGCAAAGATATGCTTGTCTTTAGTTCATTCTGCCTTCATTCATTCATTCAGCCAGCCATACTTCCTGTTCGTGATCCTTAGCGTCCTTTCAGTGCATGCTAATCGGTTTGTACCTCTTGCTCCATGAATTGCCTTGGTGTTACAAATTTTTATTATCGTCTGCAAATTCCTCCCCCAGCTCTTCAACTATGAGGGCCGCCGTGTAAAATGCGACTTTTCTTAATGTGACCTTAACAACCATAAGCTTGAAGTGCCCTTTTCATGAAGACCCTGGATATTGTGTGTGGGAAACCATTTCCTGTATGGCACGTGTAGGTGGGCTATTAATCTCTGCTAGTAACTGAACTCGATCCAGCACCAGAAGGCTGAAGGATTTGAGGTGGGGAGTCCACCCCCACGGTACTTCAGTGCATTCCTCACGGCGCTAAAAGTTGTGTCTGCGGAGGTGGTCAACTGAACAGGTAACTCGATCCTCGTGGCTAGCACCGTGTAACCGCGTCAGGAATGAGTAAAGTTAAGTGATTTCTTTTTGATTTAATACCCGTAAAAACTGCGCAAACGTGAAAGTTGAGCCGTGGTCTGTTTCTCTGAGAAGCTGGTGCATTGTGCTGAGACTAAGTCGTGTGTGGCTGCGCCCGAGCCGGCCTCCGGTTGTCCAGACTATCTCCGCGGAGAAGAAAGTGCAGCAGTTTCTGCGCAGGTCTGCTTTTGCTGTAAATTTTATCCACGTACAAATTGTCATGCTGTGGGGGGGGGAGGGGAGGGGGTACACGGTGGACTCTTTTACCTTAGTGACGGTCGAAATTGACCAGGAAATAGGTTTTCAATATATTGCTAGCCAGACTCCGGCTCCCATCCTGTAGAGCACGTTTTTATGCTCATACCTTCATCTTTGCTGGCCGGCCGGGGATTTTTAATATCTTTAGTTGCAAACTATTAACCCAACAAGAACCTCTACTCCAGTCCTTTTGTGTTTATTGGTTATTCTTCTCGACTAAGGTAAAGTTTTTGTGTGACGCACTGTCAGCCACCAAGTACTACAAAATTAGACGTGTTGGTAATATTTTCTATTCAGAGTTGAGGTATGTTCCCATAACAGCTGTGGTACCACCAAAACATCGAATCCTGCAAGAACCAAATTTCTAAAGGGTTGCCGTTTTCTTCTATTCGTACACGACTTGATGTCCTTTGCCGGTATAATCTTCAAGCTCTAGTATGCGACTCAAGTGTTGGCATCAAATCAACTACCGATGCTTTTTTATGCTTACAGAACCCCTAGCTGTCTGCCTCTAACCTTTTTGCGCTGTTTGATCGGCCTTATTCGCCACTTCATTTAAACTAAAAGTCGTGAATAAGCAAGTGTAATCTCGATAATTGTTTCGTTCGCTTCGTCAACTTCCTTGCACGTTCTATCATTAATACACCGGAATTCTTCTGTCTCTTGCCTGGTTTCGATTTGTTACCTAGACTGATGCGGTCTGTTGTTTTTAAGTTTCTTGATCGTTGTAACTGAGAAGTATCAGGCACATGTGGGTGGAGTTACCTGACGACAAAAATGGTCATTTAACCTCCATTGTCTCGATCACTACTCAGGAGCTTTGTTCGCCCCTGTTGTCAATCAAGAACCGATCCTCCGAGTTTCCCCTACCTTCACCCACTCTTTTCTGCCACAGATAAACATGGCGCGCTATTTGGTTTTCAATTCGACTCACTGGACGCCGTAGATTGCCCCAACTCGTTATAGGCCGGTTCACTACCCACCCACGGATACCGTTTGACTAAAAAGTTGCCCATTGCTTTCTGAAATGTTCTAAGAGGGTATTTTCAACGCTTTTGTGGATGTGACAGCTTCTGCTGCCGTCTCAGAGGCGTGATTATCTCTCTAGTAATAAGTCCACTTTCAATAATTGATGCAACCATGCCCACCAGATAGGCGTTTCGAAAAAAATATGACTTCCAGATGTATACTCGTTTGCAAATGCCGGTTACTCTGAAAGCATCATGCTCTTCTATATTCATACCAGTGTGTACGTAGATCATGGATGAAAGTTATACTACTTCTTTTATCGCATCGTCTCAGAGTCATCAAGGCCCTGGTTATAGCTGCCCTTGGCAAGTCCGCAAACAAGAGTATTCGTCAAGGGGCTGTAGTGCAAAACTATTTTTGTCGTTGTCATTTCTATTTGCATTAATTGTCATTTGCCGGCAATATTAACTGCCTATAATACCAGCCGCTGCAGCAATCAGGGCTTATGTCGAGATCCAACGCAAATGAGCGGGACAGATGAGTTCCAGAAACGAGTTAGCGGTCGAGTGAGCGTTCATCAACGAGTGTCAATATCCTTCGACCTAAACCGTCAAGAAAACGAGCTCGTGGCTTAATGGTTAGGGCGTTTGACTCTGATAGAAAGGGTTGCGAGTTCGAGGCTCGGACACCACTTGGGTCTGAGTATGACTGACTGACGACGGCTAATAAGCCAGAAATGGCCGTTCCTGCCTTCCTTGTCTTTACTGGCAATATTATTCCCGATTTTCTAAGAGCAGCCAATCCTTACATTGTATTTAACGGTGGGTAGTATTCACCCCCTAGTCTATGTGCCGTCGCGGTTCCACTTTGCTGAATTGCTGTAGAATTGTTTGTTCCAGCCTTTCCGTAGGTCCACCCAGCACGCTAAGTGATAGGTGCCCGGTTCCCATAACCGGCATAATGGGTCCCCCACAGCCGTCTAGCGCACTCTCGGCCATTTCGGGTTTAGGTGCACGGTGTGTTCATGGCAGCACATACACACACGCACAATCATTTTTAGGCGGTCTATGTAC